TTAGTGGAAGTGCTGTAGGGAGGGAACTGCCACATGACCATCAGAGATAAAATTTGATCTTGGTCTTGAAGAACTGATTGAGACTTCCCAAACAGAGGCAAAGCCATGTGCAAAGGCACAAGAAAGTGAATGCACATGAAATACCTGGGGAATGGATTGCTCAGTGAGCTTGAGTGGAGAGGAGGTTGATCGGGCTTGGAAGAGGAGGGCAGGGCCAAGCTGGCCTGCTAAGGAGTGAAGCATATGCCAGAATAGATAACAAGAAACTAATGGGGGTTCTCAAATAGTGGAACATCATAATTAGAGAGCTGAGCGGAAAGGAAAGGACCACCATACACCCCTAGGAGTTGGTATTTACAAACCTTTCTCTCTCATCGTGATTTGCCAAGTCACTAAAGGAACTTACGAGGCTCTTCTTCAACATGTAAAATTTTTAAGAAAGTTTTTTTTAATAATGACATAAGTACGATGGTACATTATAACAGAAATGCTAAACATAGCTAATTATTCATAGCATCACTCAGAAAAAAAAGGGGGCCAGACTCAAGAGAGCGGTTAGGAGCATCTCATCCTGAAGCACACCAATTCCAATGACTTGGGAACCAATCCCAAGGTCCTCAGGCTTCCTGGGACAGTCTAAGCCACGCCTAGGACTTGGAAGAGAGTGATGACACAACCAGAGAGCTGGAACTTTGTCTTTCACCAAATCAGACTCAGGCTATTCAAATCCTAACATCACTCTTTCCCCATAATCTATCCACTTGATTCTTGTTCGTTATACCACCAGTTTCCAATATATTCAAGGAAGGTCTGGCATTTCTTGACTTTTCTTTATAAAATCCAACCTCTCGATCAATACTTTTAAACCTTGGAGCCCTCTTTTCCTCTTGTTGCTGTAGAGGTGGTTATATCCTCCCTCTGATCTTCCATCCTTAGGTTTTTCCCGGCACCTACTGTACTTTCAAAATCTCTCTCTGCTTTGTTATCCTCCTCCAGAGAGTCCAAAAGCATCACCAACAAGTTCATTTTCCTTTTAAATCATGATTTACTTCTTGCCACTTCTTGAACTTTTGTGAGGAAGAAAAATAGGAAGCAGAATGGAGGTTAAAGAGCAGAGAGTCGTGGCTGTGAGACACAGGTGGGAAACGCCACATGGCAGCTCCATCCTGGGGGCCTCCGAGCTCCCACACCAGTCTGCCCTCTTGGTCCCCAAGACATTTCCCTGTGTTCTCGTCTCTCCTCCAACATCCTCTTGCACTGGCTTGCTTTTTCCTTTGTGCACTCCCGCTCACAGCCTGATTCTTCATGGTTGAGACCCCTAAAAACCACAGGGGCATCAACCCACAGTAAAGCCACCTCCTAGAGCCCTTAAAATTACCATATGACCCAGCAATCCCTCTTCTGGGTATCTACCCCAAAAATCTGAAAACATTTATCTGTAAAGATATATGTACCCCTATGTTCATTGCAGCTTTATTCAAGGTGGGCAAGACATGGAAACAACCAAAGTATCCTTCGATAGATGATTGGATAAGGAAGATGTGGTACACATATACAGTGGAATATTACTCGGCCATAAGAAAAGATGAAATACTGCCATTTGTGACACCATGGATGGACCCTGAGATTGTCATGCTAAGCGAAATAAGTCAGATGGAAAAAGTCAAGAACCATATGATTTCACTCATATGGGGGATGTAAAACTGAAAGCAACAAACAAGCAAGACAAACAGAATCTCAAAGAACACAGGCAATAGTTTAGTGGTTACCAGAGGGTAAGGGAGGGAGGCAGAAGTGGGTAAAGGGGGTCAAATGTATGGTGGTGAAAGGAGAACTGACTCTGGGTGATGAACACGCAATACAAAATGTAGCTCATGCACTATAGCATTGTACACTTGAAACCTAGATAATTTTATTGACCAATGTCACCCCAATAAATTTAATTTAAAAAGTGGCTTAGAGGTCAAAAGGTTCTGCTATCATGTTTCCACAGGAGTAGTCCGTCCCCCCAACCTCCCACCTCAGTCCTCGCCTAACTAAGCTGCTTGGTTTCCCTTCCGCAGCTCAGGCTTCAGAACAGATGATGGTTTTTAGATCCTACCTTACTTTTGTTCCCTTCATTGTTCCTGCAGGGCCACTGGTAATACCTCAATATGGCCTTTTAACTGGTGATGGAGTAAACAATGGCAAAGATGGCTATGGGCTTGAGGAGTCCAAAGAAAATGGAAACACATAATGTCAAACATGTCTTGTTCAGTGAGAAGATTCAGCTCACACTTAATGTATGTGGATAAACATTCTCTTCACATTGGGCAGAGACATCCAAATATGGAAACTCTAATTGCTACCACATCTGTAAAAGGCAGAGGCTCTGTTGTCCTGGTTTCTCCCTCAGAGCGATTTTCAGGACAGAAGAGATGTTCTAGAAACTCAGACTCAAACCATGGAAAGCAACATTTATCATCCTGCTTCTCTGTCCTTCTCCATCCTGTAAGTGGCACACTGTATAATATGCATTATTCAACAACTGAAAACCTCTCAGGGCTCCATTTGGCTTTCCTATGCCCACTTAAGGCTCAGAGTCAGAGGTCAAAGCTCATTAGTGCGGGAACCTAAAGTCAATGCCCTTGAGATATCAAATGAAGCTCTAGACAAGGCCTTCCTGGTTCTGAGTAATTCATTATGACTTCTGGGTTCTCGCATGGCAGGTCTCACAAACTCAGGGTCACAAGTGCTAGGAAAAGACAACTGGCTGAGAAAAGGATCCAGAAACTGAATGAGTGAAACTTGGTCCATGCAGAAGAATTTCCAATACTCATCACAGAAATTTAGACAAACCAGTGGTATCTGAGAATGACCCAGTGACTCGGAGTGTAGAGCGAATGCAAGGATTGAAAGGGTGATGCCAGAGCACAGTGGAGGCGTTCTGGAGGGGACCTCAATCTTCCCTCGGAATCATGGATGTTAACACTGGACATTATTTACTCCACTGGCTTCATTATACCAAGAAAAGAGAGAACCAGAGAGAGAAAATGAGTCTGTTCAAGTTCCATAGCTCATAGTAGTTCTGAAATTAAAACTCAAATGGCCCTTCTTCCTTGCCCACTTCCTCATTCCCACTGTCCATGGAGAAGTTCATATCCTTCCAGGCATCAGTACAAAGACTGAGGGGTCGTGCTTACATGGGGCAGGCAGCATGCAAGAGGCACTAGCCCTTAAAGACACTAGGAAGGCCAAGTTCAATTCTAGTACCCCATCCTAGTTCCTACAGACCTGCTCCCATGACAGCCCAGATGGTCACATACACCTGTCTGTGTCTCTAGTCCATTGCTTGGGCCACTGTCCTGGCTTGGCCAAGAGGCCAGAGAGCATTAATAGGGATTTAGAGTGGAAATTTTCAGCATTCTTTAAATAATATTTGAATGACTGATACTAAACTTGTACCCTTATATTTTATCACAACACACACACACACTTTTCCTCTGAACCAAAAGACAACAATCTAGTGGAGTGCTTCTCAAGCTTCATGAGCATATGAGGCACCTAGCCCAGGGATCTTCTTAAAATACAAATTCTGATTCAGTAAGTTTGGGATACAGCCTGAAATCTCCCAGGTGATTCCCTACGCTGCTGTTCTGAGGCCCACACTCTAAGTAGCAAAGGGCAGACATTACAACATCTTGAACTCAAACAAATCTGGGTTTGAATTCTGGTTCCACCATTTAGGAGCTCTGCAATTCTTGAGCTGGCTTCCTAACTTCACCCTGCCTCAACCACCTCATCTCTGAAATGGAAGTAAGAATACCTGAGAAGCACTTGGTGCTGATTACGTAAGTTAGTGATGTAAAGCTTTTAACACAGTGCCTGGCATATAATAAGGGCTTGATAAACATCAGTTGCCGGCTGCCTCTAAAATTCTTAAGCGCAGAGACAACATCTGTCTGGCTCCCTGCCAAAATCCTAATGGCTAAAACATAGTAGGTGCTCGATGGATGTTTGTGAATGAATAAATGCATGTATAATACACATACGCATAGTATCAATATTTACACACTCCCTTGGTTCTGTGGCTTTCTGCAGGAAAACATCAAACATTTAGAACACCAGCACACTCTCACCAGTAACAAACCATCATCTCATAAAATCAAATTCAACGTTAACCACCATGTTTAACCACCAAGAAATATATCATTTGTGATGGCAATATATACCTGAGAAAATGTCTTCACTGTAAACAAATAAAGACCACATCCGTCAGGAATCTGTATGTCATTAAGAGAGATCACTGCCTGTTCATTATTTATGTGGCTCTCTGAACACAGATGTTATGAAAAACTTAATTCTTAAACTAAATTCATTTCCAAACCAAATGTAGACTTGCAAAGAGAGACAAAACAAACCATAGGAAGCAAGACTACTGTTTAAAGGGCCATTGGGGCAGTAATACATGCTCTTACATCCGCATAAACTTGCTCAGGAAAAATTAGAAACAAAAGAACTGTTAACAAATGGTAGAGTTTAATCTTTTAAATCAAAGGCAGACAAGTGAGTAAATCCAAAATTCTTCCACAACCTAAGATTATCTTCAGACGTTCCGTATAGTACATGGCATCATTTAAACAGATCCCATTTCAGGGAGGCACTGTGTATGGCATATAGCAAGAAGGGAATTCGATTGCCACCTACAGACAGAATTGGCACTCCCTTTGCAGGAGCTGGCCAATCATATTTTAATATGAAAAAAAAAACCCAACCAAGTCACCTCCCTCCAACCTCTTCCAAACCACCACACCACATTACTTCATTTAGAATTTCTTTCAAGTCATACAATCATCTCTAGGCAGTGTGCCTCTTCATTATCATCATCCTATTTCTAATTTCCCAGAAACAGTGTACCGTTCAACTATCTACTTATACGCTATTTGAGAGCCAAAAGAGAATGAAAGCCAACGGATTTCAAGCAGGCAAGGGTACCAGCGTGGAAGTATAAATCTGCTTACCTGGTATGAAGGGGACCACCCGGAATATATCAGACAATCTGCTATTAACTGGCTCATATGGGGAATCTTCCAGCAGATCATTTCCTAGAAACAACAGAAAGATTGGGCTCAGAGCTGGAAAACAGGCAGATTTCAGGCAGTTTTTGTTACTGAATCTGAATTCTAATTAGGTTATGATTGTGTAACAAAAAGATGCTGAAACTTCCAAAGATGTCAAATGCATCAGTTTGGCTATGGTGATTTATTTTCATTCCCTCTGCCTTTGTTGTCCTTGTTCTCCCCCAGAGTGCCATGAAAACACTGGAGAGCAATCCAGCGATCTTGCCAGAAAACTCTCCCACTTTTGCAAAAGAATGAAATCAGAGAGGAAGAAACCTGTGACATCACAAGCCCAGCTAGCCTCCAGGAGCCAATGGAAGAAAGGTGACTTAAAAGAGGGCCCCATTTCCCTGCTCCTGAATCACCACGGGCTGTGGTCAGAAAGCAGGTACGCTGGCTAGCTATCAAACAGTCTTTGGAAAAGGTTTTTATGAATAGGTTCTGGAGGAAGTGGCAGCTGAGAAATCAAATCTGTAGATTATAAATGTTTGGTGTGAGTCTCGGTGGAGAATGAATGCACCGGATGTTTGGGTTTGATTTACAAACACGGACCACCTCTGTCACCCAAGGACCAAAATACTGCCACTGGAATGATGGTTGTGACAAGTGGACTTTTCCTTCTCTGAGCCACTTCTGTGTTAACCAAGGTTGAACCACAGCAGCTGGTTCAAGATTCAGCTAATCTAACATGACAAATGATTTTTCCTACATCTGCCTTTGATCAGGTTTGAGGGGGTTAAAGACAGAATAGATTCTACTGGACCTTGTACGGGTAATTCATTATCTTATGTCAGAATGGAGAATAGATAGAAGGGGGGAATAAAGGGGGAAACTCCAGGCAAGATGCAGTGCAAGTCTTTGCATTACTATCCTGTGAAGCCAGCTCTCCTTAGAGAAGTTGCAGGTTGCTGGCGTGCCCTTTAATGGGTTCTTACTAGATGGTCTGACCATGTTTGAAAGAAGTCAGCAGGGTCCCAGGGGGTCCCCCACACCCCCTCACGGGTTTTCCAACAACCAGGCCCCAACAATGCTGCTGGGAAGGCAGCAAACACCAGCTGCCACTGTCCCTGGGGGCCAATGAAAGGTCCTCATTCTGCAGCTGGGGAGACGTGAGCGGAGGATGAGGTCAGCCAGACGCGGGACTGAGGGGCCCGCCTGCCTTTGGTCGGGGGGCGGGGCGGGGGGAGGGATGAGGACCCTCAGAGCGTACCCTGCAAGCTCTGGTACATGCTCCAATAGATACGCAGGCAGTTCTTCTCCTTCTTCATGCCCCGCTTGCAGCGGCAGTTGTAGAGCGACTTCTGTTTGAGGGCCTCCATGGCGCTGCGGCACTCGTCCTTGGCCTCCAGGCCGGATGTCAGGCTGAAGTTGGTCTCCTTGCCCGCCACGCACTGCCTCAGCGTGCGGTACTTGGTGCTGCAGCTCTGCTCTTTCAGGCACTGGTCGCTGGCTTTCACACAGTCCAGGCGGTCCCCTCCGCTCACCTCAGCCGACAGGAGCACGTCTGCGGGCGGAGGGGAGGGAGCATGAAAGGGCTGGGGGTGCCCCAATCCCGGGGGAAGGCGCGTGCTTGACCAGGCTTCTAGGGTGCTCCGCGAGCACAGCGGTCCGCCCCTCTATGCCGGGAGTCCATTTTCCTGCCCCGGGACCTGCCGCTGCTTTGGTGTCCCTCCCCGCGCCACACACACACACACACCCACCCTCCTGGCCCCCGAGGCTTTGCGGGCTTTTCGCGGTTTGCTAGAAATCCAGCTCTGCCCACCGCGCTTGCCGGCCCCACCGCCCGGGGCCCGGGGCAGACCTGCCGGAGCCCCAGACCCTAGCGACTCGCTCGGCCGGGCCCGACTGAAATCCCGGGGCTTCCCGAAGGGGAGAGCGGCGGTTGGTGGGGCGCTGGGCGGGCGAGCCCTGGTTCGCTGCCCGCCGGGCAGGGAGCACCGGGATGCTATTCGGGGAAAAGTTTTCCCTTCGAAGTTTGTTCTCCCGGCCCAATGCTCGCCCACACCCCACCGCGTCTCCGCGAGCTCCCCGGCACTCGCACGGGGCCGTTGGGTGTTGGACCCCTTCATTTACCGCCAGGCTAGGTCATTAAAAAAACACAGAAAATAAAAGCCAAGCACGAAAAGCTGAGGACAAGTGCGCGCCACCGCCGCTTCCCCAGCTCGGGATGCTGAGGGTTCATGATCGCCTTCCCCAAAATGAAACTTCGCCCTCTCACGCCCACCGTTCCTGCGCAATTTTGGGTGGGCTGCCGTGGACTCCTCGGAAAGACGCAGCGGTAAAGAAAGCTAGCGGCAGCCTCGACTTACCCAGAAGCGGCAGCGCGAAGTACAGAGTCGCCAGAAACATGGTGCCGGCGCGCAGCTGTTCCCCGCCCCCCCCCCAAATCCCGAGCCGCTGCTGGGTCTCGCCGAGGGGCTCAGCATGCAGCGATCCCCAGACAGTCGCACTGCTCTGGCCGCCCAAAGTTCAGCTCCATCCAGCGGGAGAGGAAACTCCCGGGTCCGTCTGTCGCCACCGCCGCGGGCGACTCAGCTCCTGGCTGGCGTCTGGAGTGAGGGCGGGGGGCCGTTCAGCTTTTAGGGGTTCAGGTCCGACCAAACCTGAAAGGGAGAGCGCGCTTTGAAATGAGAGCTGAGAGCGGTGGAGCCTCCCTCCGCCCCTCTGCCATCTCCTGCTCCCGCCTTGGAGGACTTTCCAGAGCCCCGGGTGAGGGCCCACCCCAACCCGTGTCTGGGCGTGGGGAGGGGGCGCTGAGGGTGCGTGTGCGTGTATTCCCGGGAGCTGCCCGTACAGACAGAGTGGGGCTAGAGAGGTCAGACGGGGGCTCCCAAAGTCCAAAGGGGTGTCTACCGGGTCCAACCCCAAAGGCTGAATGCAAGTAAATAAGTAAATAACGTTACTTTCCAAGCGCTGCGAGCGGAGCCGGCCGCTGCCTGGAGTCGAAGCACTCCGCTGCCGCGGCTCTCTCGCCAGCGCTGGCGAGGAAAGAGCCCTTTCTCCCGGGAAGTTCGCCGCCCCCCTCCTCGCGCCAGCTCGCTGGCTCAGCCGCCGGCCCTCCCCACCCAAACCACCAATCGCTGCCCCCCATCGCCATATCCCCTCCTCCCCAGCTCGCCTTCTTTCAGAGGCAGCGGAGCAAAGGGAAACCGACTTCCCGGCTGGAGACTAAACCCGGCTGGTGCACCCCTACACGCCGCAAGTCCTCGGCTCCCTCCCCGGTGTTCGCGCCGCGCACACACTAAGCCCAACGCCTTAGATTCCAGCGCATCAATGCCACCGCCCTGGGCGAGCGCCCTGGCTCGCAGCCCCGGAGCGCCTGGGCAGGTGCATCTCCGCGCCGCGAGCCCCTGCGGGACCCAAAGTTGAGGGAAGCCTGCAAGAGGGGAAGAGGTGGGTGGAGGAGCGGCGATGGGTTCCCAAACCGATAGAATGAGAAAACTCTCTCCAAATGCCACCAACCTGGACTCAACCGACCGTGTCCAGCTGCAGCAAGGAGCCAATTTGTTGGTTTATTTATTTATTTTAGGGGGGGTGTCCCCGCCCCCTCCTTCCCTTTCCGGGCTCACTTCTCTGCGCTAGGAAGAAAAATGCGGTAATCTTCGAGAGCTCAGAGAACCTACTTGGGCCAGGACGATTTCCCAGCAGAGCCCCCTAGGGTTCAGATGCTGGTTAGAGATGTCGGTGGCTACTGGGAGCTGTGCAAAGGATAGCGGGTTCTGAGACCAGATTTCTTTGCCAGGGGACCCTCGGTCTGCTTCTGTTCCCTCTGGACCGTAGCACACCACCAGTCCCTTCTAATACTCGCCCGCAGGGACGCCGCAGATGAACAAACTCGCCTGCGGTGGGACTCGAGGATGGACTCAGCACGCGCGCACAGGACACGCAGCGCTATGCAGCCGATCGCGAGCGCTACCACTCTCTCTCTCTCTCTCTCTCTCTCTCTCTCTCTC